TTATAGCCTTTTTTGAGGTATGGCACGCTGCACCATCTTGCTGAAACACATTCTTCCATCACTGGTAAAAAGCGATTCTTCTAAACTTGCCAAATATTTGTTTTCCGTCAATAAAATGAATTTTTCCTACTCCTTTTGATGACATTTCACTTTTCTCTTCAGACAGTCAACACGCCTCAATGCTTAATTTTTTTGCGAATAACTCTACTGCGACTGTCAACAACACAAACTTCGAATCGGGCCTCAACACTCCATTGCATTGCACACCATTGTTGAGGTGTCCACTGTCTATGTTCTTTAGCCCATCTAAGCCCATTTTTCTTCTGCAGTGGAGTTGATAGTGGCTTTTCTTTGGCCTATAAACAAGTTGTGCAACTTTAGGGTTTTTACTTCACTTTTTTTATAAGAAAACTATCCTTGCAAGTCCTAAATCCCAGTTTGTGGGCCTCTCTATGAGTTGTAGACCTCGAAATTCTACTTCCAACAGCGCCACTCCACAGAGCACTTAATTGTAAATAATTGGCACTCCTGTTTTTCATGATTATTCTTCTTAATGCTCCTCGGTCGGCATTTATGATATTACTTTTTTTCACATATCGTGGATTCATATTAACTGAACCAGTTACGTTATATCTTCTAACAATATTTCTCACACTGTACCGCGACAAGTCTAACAAAGTAGCAATTTCTGAGTTGGATTTCCCAGAATTAAAAAATTTAATTATCAGTAACCGAATTTTCTCTCTAATAAACTTTTCCTCTACCCATTTTGAAAACCTTAACTACCCAAAACTATTTTTAAACGTATTCTGACAGCTGTGATTAATAAAAACAATTGTCATGGCTTTTATTTTTCACAGCCACCAATGCGTTATAGACTTAATTTGCATTGAAATGAAAATATTTTGATATGCTGTAATTGCAACATGTGTTATTTTATGCTGCAAATTTGATTAGGAAGTGATAAAGTTGGTGTTTTCTACTATATATTATTAAAATATTCATTGTTAGTATTTTAAACCTATAATACCCTGCTATATTTTTATTATTTGTGCTTGATAAGAAGAAAACTAAGATTTCAATAGTTGGGACAACTGAAGTGGGAAGGGGCTCGTATAACCCTTAAAATATCCTGAAGTGCCACACATTCTCACAACAATGGAAAAAACCTTGACTATTTGTTTACGGCTAAGAAGTACTTTTATTCACTCTATATAAAGCAAATATAAGACCTAGCATGGATTACTGTTTACATTTTGTGGGTGCTGCCGTCCCGACTACATTTCCGTCCTCGATGCTGTCCAGAGGAGGGCCATCCAACTGATCGATTACTCTTCTCTATCGAACAGTCTTGAAAATCTTTCGCACCAGCGGACCGTCGGCGACCTAGCGCTCTTCTACCGCTACGCCAAAGGGCTTTGCTCCTCAGAGCTCTCGTACATGGTGCCTGCCAGACTCACCTGCTTCACTTCAGCCTCCTATCCTAGCCGTGTAAGACTTTGTACATCCAGAACTGGCCAATACGACCATTCCCTTGTCCCAAGGGTATCGAGTTCTACATTAGAGGGCTTTTCCCACTTCTACTAACCTTGGACAGATCAAAAATTGGATAAAAAGTTTCTTTAAGCTCCTCGACAGCCGTGGTGCCCTGGCATTTAGGCTCCTCCCTCGCGTCCGCTTCGGTGCAAAAAAATGATTTGTTATACAGAGTGCGACAGAGAGGATGGACGGTTTTAAAAAAATCATAAAATAATTAATTTTTACTCGAAAACAAATTTATTGATGGAATCAGGTTCACAAGGAAATAGCATTTGAGACAGTCAAGTGTGGAAAATCACATCAGGCATGTGGTGGCCGAAATCGTTGATGCAGTACTGGAGGCGTTCTTGGAAGTTCGCGTAGACTCTCTCCAACATCGCTCTCTCAACCTGTGCGACTTCCACGCGAATTTCGCCCTTCAATTCGTCCAGAGTTCGGGGCTTGTTCGCGTATACTCTAGCCCTGAGGTGTCCCCATAAGAAAAAATCGCATATGGATAAATCTGAGGACCTAGGAGGCCAACGAACATCGCCAAACCTGGAAATAAGGCGACCAGGGAAAAGAGGGCGAATAACGTCCATGAATGCTCGGGCTGTGTGGGTGGTCGCCTCATCCTGCTGGAACCACACACGTCGAATTGGAACACGTCGCCGTCGTAATTCAGGGAGAAAGAAGTTGGTGATCATGTCGACGTACTTTTGGGCTGTGCAGCGGTCTTTCGTGTAACTGTTGCGGATTTTCATTTCTGATGGTTAACCAGGCTGTTTAGGTGAAAGTGAGCTTCGTCACTAATAAACAAAATGAGTTTCTCATTTTGATCGATCAGTGCTTCCATCTCACGTGCGAAGTTCATTCGTTGTGCATAATCTCCGGGCTGTAACTGTTGAACAATGGCCAATTTGTAGGGGTGAAAGCGGAGATCCATATGCAAAATTTGCCTTACCGAACGATCACTAAGGCGAAGTGCAGCAGCGTGTTTCCGGGCAGATCGAGTCGGACTCCGAAGAAAGACCTGTCGAACGCGTCAGGAGCTCGAACTGTTCGCGGCGCTCCTCATGGTCTTCTGTTGATCAGTTCACCACTCCTGCGAAGTGATTCAACCCAACGAAGGTTGATGTTTCGAGAGGGAATAGCTCTATTTCGATGAATGTTGAAGTTGCGACGAAACTCACGCTGTACGACGATGACTGACTCATTATTTCGGACGAAACAATCATAGGCGAAAACGCGGTGCTCCACCGTCCAAGACTCCATAATGACAGCTGGTAAAATAATGCTAGGATCTCACGAGTCAAACGGCACGCTCCCCACCTCTCTCGTAGACGGTGGCGGAGAGTACTACCCATCCCAAAAACGTCCGTCCTCTCTGCCGCACCCTGTACTTCACATTAAAGTTTAATGCCTTAACAAAAATAATATCTGAAAATAAGATGTATCTGCCACCAACGAAAACAATAACAACTTTCATCAATAGATTTCAGCGCGATCTCAACAGCTCAAAAACTTTTTTCAATGAAAAAGTTTTCCCGAGGGCCCCAAAGTGCCGGCCAGGCGCCTACTATAAATAACATCGCATAAGTCGCGAAATAAAACGCGTGTATGTAAAATTTATGGAGTTTCCGTAAAGCCTAGAAAATTTAAATACTTCAGCGAAACTTTACACGTAACTCCCCAACTCCCCGTTGGCGAAAGTAGCAAACAATTTTTCAGCTTTATCGTAAACATTTCAGCGACGTTAGCAGTAGCGTCACGTTAACATTGAAGCTCCGCGGTATGAGGATATAATTTATTGCTCTCGTATCAGTTGTACTGGAACTCGTAACTTTTCCACTTTTCGCAGAATTTTTCTATACGCCAAACATCTATTATTCCACTAACCAACTTCTATCTAACCACTACAATACACGCTTAGGAATTTTGTGGAGAAACCTGCGGCGTGTCTAGTATCGACATTAGCGCACTTTTGCCCGTTTTTCCCAATATACAGGGTATCCTGAATGTTGCACTTTACACAGCGTATAGGTCGGACAATTATAATATGTAAGTTTTCCTTAAGATAAGCGAGACATTAAGTTCCGAAATAGGTCATGCCGAGGCTGCCTCTCCCCTCCTACGTTAAAGGTACTATGGCTATGTGAGACCGTATCAAAATCAGACGCCGCGTGGTGTGCAGGTTAACCTACTTTGTAAGCAACACGCATTTGAAAACCGAAATTGGCATATCCCTACGACAATAACGTAGTTATCGATTTGATGTTAGTTTATTGTTATAGTGTACTGTGAGTATAATCGAGTATTCAGAACGTCAGCGTCGTCCTCGATATTTTCATCATAACTGCGCTTATATCGTACAAAGGCCGTCTGGGTGAACTCAGACAGCCCCAAATGTTGCAACTTTAGTAAGAAGTAGACAAACTCGTGTTTTGGATCGAACAGCGATAACTTCAAGCATCAATTACAAACAAAGCATGTACAGGTAACAGGGCAGCACTTGATGAAAGAATGAGTGATTTTTCCCAAATCTGTGTTTAACGTTCTCCGTCCTGTTTCACCGCAAATTAACTTATTAACTTATTATGCAACGTAGTTGTTCCTGAAACAGAAATACTCAACATTCAGGTAACCCTGTATCTTTCATATGGTTGAAACCAACAAATTCAGACTAGGTAGAAGCCTGCGATTTGTATGTCTTAAAAATCTCAATGTGTAGTCATGGTGAAAGTGCATGCCACAAATGGAAGTTAGTTTCTTGAAGGTTCTGTTATTCATATTTTTAGTGTTATTCTGTAAGAGTTCATGCTGATCAATTTTGTCACTTTGGTAGGCAATGGTAGTCAAATGAGTCAAAGTATGCACTAAAACTTTACGCGATTTTGACGACAAACAATATGCATGCCAAGCTATTCTTAATTTATGCAAATTTCTTATTTGATGTGAGTTGGGTTGCTGAAAGCGAATTTATTTTGAACATACGGATCCAATTCATGATGTACATTTTACTATTAAGTAAAAAGTTGCAAAACAATAATACTTTGAAGTTAATAAAAGCAGGAAATACACATGACGTAGTACATTAGGGGAGTAGTGGCATGAAAGAGCCAGTTTTATAGACGTAGCCAAAAAATATACCTTTAATGAATGAAATGATTATTTTTTTAGTCAAACTATTATTTATTTATTAAAGTATATATTTCATACAAAAAAAATCTAAAATAAGGTATATAAAACCAATGAAATATACGTTTTTTAAAAATGTGTGATTTGGCTCTTTCATAACATTTCGGTATTGAAAGAGCCACTAAAAGTAATGAAAGGGCCAGCTTGTATTATAACTTGAAATTGTGAAAATTATACAAACTAATAAGTATACACTATTAAAAAACAAATGAAAAGACAATTCTAACAAATTCTTTTTAAAAACTAATCATATTTTATAATAAATATAAACTTAACATATTAGAGGCGGATTATGTTTTATCAATAACAGTGTTGAAATTAAATAAAACAACAAACAACATCTTTTATCAAAAACAAATCGTTAAATCTATCAGAACAGAATATAATGCGTATTCTTCAAATTAGAAACATGTCTTGCAAAAGAAATTAAGGTTCCCCTTAATACCACAGCATTCATGAGCCCAACCAGAACAAATTTTGCACTGAAACCAATCTTTATCACTGTCTTATATGGTTTGCTCCAAACTACACAATCATCACTATTGTTATTTGTCTTTGGGTTTATTTTGCTTCGAACACCCTTTGTTTTTAATTCATCCAATACGATAGAGTCAGACGAATCAGAGTCATCTTGCAGAACGGAATTTTCTTTATTTATTTCTGATTTTGTTTTTTAAGCGTTTTTGTGGAGTCTTTTGTAGTCATTTTCTTAACAGTAACTTTTGGTTTCTTTGCACTATACTCTTTCTCCTCTATTTTTTTCCTTCGGGAGAGTCGGTTACGATAGCAGATCACATTTTTCTATTATTTCGTTTTCGTGTTTGTCTTGGCCCCGCTTTAGAAAATGGTCTTATCATCTCCGGTGATATAATTCGTTGACTCGGATTTGCAGCCGTGGGGGTGGAGGTTGAACAATGAGAGAGTCTGATATTCTGATCTATTAGAAGCTCATTTTCTTCGCCAGCTTCAAACGATTTTGTAGAAGATGGAGGTGTTGTTTCTAAGTTTCTTTCCATACTTTCCTTATACAAGTTCAAACCATCGTTTGACTGCGGATCAAGTCTATCGGTCACATATGAAGATAAAAATGCTTCTTCACTAAATATATTAGAATTTAATGGATAAATTCCTGTTTTCAAAAATCCTTGTGTTATATTATGTGGACTGAAAGCTGGCAAATATGCTTCTTTTACAAATTGCCCAATTTGATAAATAGTAACTGTTTTTCCAGGGTTCGTCAACATCCATTCATTCATGGCAGTGCGGGTACCTAGTTTTGAAAGGCCCATATACTGTGATATCTAGTGGTTGCAGTTTATGACTGCAGTGTGGTGGGAATGTAACTATTATGATGGAGTTTTGTCTGACAAATTCAACCACTCTGAGATTTACATGAGAGGTGTGATTATCCATTAATATCAATGCTGGATTCTCTTTTGAAGGCCTGACATGTATTGCAAAGTGTTCAACCGCTTTCACAAAACAGTCTTCAGTCATCCATCCAGAAACTTGAGCCAATCCTAGGGCTCCTGGCGGACCATTATTTAGCATAATATCTTTATAATTTACTCTAGGAAACACAAAAACGGGCGGCAGAAAACCACCAGCAGCATTAATAAAGAACAGAGTTGTCACCAATGTTCCTCGTTCGGCTGAGGTAACTTGCCCAATTTGTTTCGAACCCCTTTCAGCTATGACCTTAGGAGGATTGGTGACGGTGCTGCAGCCTGTTTCATCGGCGTTAAAAATCCTATGAGGAGGAAATTTGTATCTTTGTAAAACAGTGTTTAATTTCTCAAAAAGTGTGCTTACATTAGCTTTATTAAAACTTGTTGCACAGGATAGAGAAGTGCTTTCAGGTTTTCTCAGAGTTAAGTCTTTGTGTCTGCTCATAAACCCTTTGAGCCAATCATCAGTCGCAGTTTCAACTTCTTTCCATTTGGGTGGACAGATATCATTGGCTACGGCATAATCAAATCCTAGCTTCTTTGCTTGATGTCTTGTTAGGCCATGGCACATTTTAGATGCGGTGTTTAAATAATCTGCAAGCATATTCTCCTGTTCTGTTGTGAAAATACGCCTGTTCCCTATATTAGGTCAGTGTTCATATGATGAATCGCCAGACGTCTTTACTTTTTTAACGATTTTAGCTAAGTAAGCCCTCGATATGTTTAAGGCAAGTGCAGTTCTGTTTATGGACTGACCTTTCTCCAAAACTTCACTGACTGCTTCTTCAATTACCGATTTTTCGGGTCTTTTCGTTTTTTTGAGCCAGCCTTCTCCATAATGCAGTATCTGAAGCAAATAATTTAATAATATATAAAAATGCATATTTATTATTATAATAATTTATTACTAAAACTTAAATATAGGGTTATAAAAGAGCCGGTTATGAAAGAGCCAGCTCTTTTAAGGCCTATGCACCCGGCTCTTTCATAACTTATTGGTAAAAAATATATAACCTTCAAAATAACAGCAATATAAAACCTTTTGTCGCTTAGTGTTTACGCAGTTGCAAGGCTAATTATATGCACAAACTGAATCTACAATCCACATACTTATATTTGTTTACAATCAAATGCCAAAAAACTACTTAGATAGAGCAAAATACTTACTTTTGGATGCCAAAAATGTTGACTCGATGTACCGCCGCCTGTTATCACTAGCCAACTGTCAAATCTTTGTGAGTGGCGGGAAATCAGTGCTGCCACCTTAAAATAAGATCACCCACCAAATTCGTTCCTAAACCACCGAATTAATGCAAGTGGCTCTTTCAAAACCTGGCTCTTTCATGCCACTTCTCCCCTACATACCTATATTGTGTATAGGGTTGGTCCAGCGCCGTTATATAATGTGCGATATCAATTCACAAACGAGGTATGTATAAAACTTTTTTCACTACTGACACTGTATGTATTATTACACTACATTTGATTTTATAAGATTTAAATATTGTCGTCAAGGATCATGGTAGTTCATGCTCATCTTGCAAATTCTTTGTAATATCTACTAGATAGTAGCCTGTTGTCAAACTGACAAACTAAAATAAATGTAAAAGAAAGCAGATTCCAGCGTGATAATCACACATTTTTCGACATTTTCTGTCATATCCATAAAAAATGACGAGATAGAGCAATAACTTTATCTGCGATGAATTCGGCACATCTTTTTCCATCTAGTTCTGAGGAATAACGAATTAGTTAACTTGGATTTCATGAGGAGAATATTTTGTGAAGGTGGACGACACGGACTGGACTGGACAGTAATTGAAAAATTGACTGTTATGATAATTCACACAACTCTTTGTAGGTATGGGAAAGATTGAAGTTCTGCAAAATATCTTGCGTAATCAGGAGTTTTTAAGAATCATACCAGCAAGAACATCTTATATTTAAATAAATGTTATTTACTGACTTCTGTGTCGGGCTGTATTTGACTAAATTTTTGTGCAACTGGAATGTGGAACCAGCTTACCATATCTCAAGAGTGGCAGTCGGTGCACTTCGCAGAAAAATGCCTAAGCACGCAATATTTGTATCACTGTACCATATGTACAGTGTATCCCTTTCATTTTTCGACAGATACTATACCTTCATCAAAGAACTCAGTGTGTTCTTCTCAATCAAGAAATGTCTCAAGTGACAATAATTCCCTCAGGCGTACCTCAGGGCTCTGTATTGGGGCCGCTTCTGTTCCTCATATATACGTTCGACATAACCAAAAGTATTGATAATTCTCATATCCAGTCATTTGCAGACGATACGCAATTGCTTCATTATTTTAACCCAGATAATGTCAATAATACTAATCAAATTTTACAAAACGATGTTAATAGATTAATTAAATACTCTTTAGATCACAATCTACTTATTAATCCACAAAAATCTAAAATGTTATTATTTTGCGCACAAAGAAAAACATACAATGTAACACAGCTCTTGAACATTCAGATAAATAACCAAATCTTGCAATTTCCTGATTCTGCAATAATTCTTGGTGTTGTTTTTGATACAAAATTAAGGTTTATTGAATATGTCAAAAGTCTATCTCAGAAAACCTACCTACGGCTGCGCACTCTTATAGCAAACAGGTATTTACTAAATTTGATGTTGCGTAAAACACTATGTGAAGCATTGGTCATATCTATATTAAATTATTGTAATATCGTATACTATACTTGTTTAGACAATTTCACTGAAAACGTTATTCAAGTTATTCAAAACAATTGTATACGATTCATTTTTGGCTTACGTAAATTTGATCATGTATCAGCGAAATATCCCGTTCTAAACGTGGCCAAGTATCACTATTCAGTTTTTGTTTACAAATTGCTGCTCACGTCTAAACCTTATTACTTGAAGGAAAAAAAATTCATTTAATAATGATGTTCACTGTAGAACTCTCAGAGAAAATAATATTAGAAAACCCCTGCATACGTCTACACTTTTTAAACGCAGTTTTTCTTACAATGTTGCTATTATTTACAATGATCTGCCTAAAGTATATAAAGAATTTTCATTACCTGTCCTTCGACAAAAAGTTTAAAACATTATTACTCAACCCTCCAAACATATAATTTACGTAATCATTCATTCTTTTTTATTCCATCTTTAATTCAGATTAATAATTTTTTGGTGAATTTGGGTTTGGAAAGTATGCCTTTTTCTCTTTCTTTAAATTCTACTTTCGATGTAATGAACCAAATCTGTTTGTGGATAGTGTATTCTTTTGAACATCTGCTAGAGACTATATGGTTAAGTGTAAGAGTAGCAGCATGCTAACTTCGCCATGTAAGTCTGACATTTGGCTATACTACAATGTAATTGTGGATAAATAAAGACGTCTATTATTATTATTATTATTATATCTACAGATTAGAAGCCAATAAACCATCGTTCAAGTTTAACCTATTTATCGATATTGGTCTCAGTGTGTGTGGTTGGCTTGAACGCCCGCAGTCAGTTCGTAAGTATTAGATTACAGCAGTTATAACTAACAGTAGTATCAAAACATTTCGCTCTAGATTTGAAAATGTCAGACCGTGACGGTGTATTAAAACAAAAACCGTTAACGTAGCAAAAAAAAACTTTATTTTAACATTAATTGCTGCTTGCAATGCATAGGATTTGGATCCGAAGTAAAAAGAACTAGGTTTATCCCGATTCAGAGATATAATACTGAATGCATGCTTAGTGTGACAGACTGACATAGAAATTCAAATTTCCATAAAAAGTCCGATTTCATAATGTTTTTTTTATGAAATGAGTAACCTTAGATTCTTTCAAGATAATATGGCACGAGTATTATGTAAAAAACCTAAAAAACGTTAAAAAAAACAAAGAAGTGTCATCTTGTAGACTAGGTAGTTTTTAGTGTACAAATAGTACATTCCTCGTTTGCTCGCTATGATCGCTATTCGCTGACGTTTCAGCAACACGTTCAGTTCACAACAAGTGTACAACAGCTTGTGCTAAGTGATCTTGTATAAAAACCTACGTATGTGACAAAAAAACGTACTTTGTCTTATCCATTCTGTAAATTATATATGCTGAATTGCAAAAATGAGGGATATAAGAAATAATTATATTCAGTGTACACTGCCAAATTACAAGTCGTATAAATGCTAACGGTAATTACTCACAACGCGGGCGCGGTGGTGACTTCCCGTCATTCTCTTCGAAGTTCTTGAATACACAAGAAAACGTAAGAAACGTAATTTATAACTTTGAACAAAACCTGTCTTCAGAAAGGACAACACAAATAACCCGTCGAGCACAGCTAATAGATATACTTTATCGGCAGCATATTCAGTAATGATATTCTCACACAGTCAACATCACTGATTTTATATCATCCAGATGCGATGTTGCTATTTAACCAACTTTCTTCTCAGAGGTGACAACTACAGACTACTTTCATAGGTTTTTTACCTAATACCCGTGCGGGTTGGTAGGCTGTGATGCGCATGATGACATAGTTACTGAGACTATGCAGAGGAAGATACTGTCACAAATAATCACGTACGGTAAGCTTCAGTTTTTGACTGTCAGCTTGACGTCACCGTCGAATTTCTCTGCTAACGTTTTGGTTGTGTTTCCGTTCTGCTAGCATTAAAAGCCGTTTTCTAATACCTTGTACCGATTGTTCAAATACTCAAGTAGTGTAGCTACATAACGAGCCTTGCTTAATAGTAGTTATTTCTCATTTTCTCTCAAATATAAAGTTTGATTGTTTGACATGACGGAGTTAGTAGTATACAATTTTAAGCATGTCAATACCTATCTACCAACCATTGACAGCTGTTTCGTGCTTTTTGTCAACTCATCAACATGGTCAGGGGTATCTGCGACAACGAACGAAAGCATGACATATCCTTTATCCAAAGTATGAGATCTATCAAAATAAGACGGTGCAACGGCGATGAGGACACATCCTCTATCGCTAGTGGTCTATCAAACGCAATCTAAGATATTTGCCATTCCAACCGATAGCTGCTATATAATCTCGCTGAGTGATGGATTCTGGTAATAGATCGCGCCTTGCGCTGTCTAATTCCAATATTAATAATAATAATTAATATTTAATATTTTAGTGATAATAATTTGTATCAATAATAGTAATGTGTATTGAAAATAATATCTGACACAAATCAGCAATACACCATAAAAGAACAAAGTGTTTTACCGGAATTGTCGACTAGACCATCTGTTAATACCAGCACCAACATGACGAAGTATTTGCCGATGATATATGTTGTAATTCACTATGTTTTCCTACATACAATGTCAGTGCGGGGTTCTCCAAAGATCACTGTTATTTCAATATTGTGTCTGCCACACATTAACAACCTCCTCTCATATTCGATAAATACAGCTCGTGGATGTTCAGCCTTCGTAACTGATCCAATATTAAAAAATCAGACACGAATTCCTGTTCTGTTATTTTTTTAACTTAACAAATTTCAAGGTATAATCCTGCAGTTATTAGCGAAAAGAGCTCCCAAAGCTTATCAAGCATCCCATTAGTCCCGTAGCAACCTCCAGAAAAGTTTTGTGCATTCAGTGTATATGGGGGCCTCAAGGGTTGATAAGAAAAGGTGGGAACGATAAAGCCGAGTAGAGGGCTTATCGTGATATCATTTCTAGGCACGGACGGGGAATTTTAAAGATTTGGCACAGAGTGTGGTAAGTGGTTGTTAGTTATTCACGTAACATAGGCGGTCCTTTCCGGAGTGATGTCTCACATAAAGAGGACTCGTCCAATATGTGTGGGGACGCATGACCGGTCATAATTTGATGATGGAGATGGTGGACGCGGTTATCTTTTTCTGCTTACACTCTCCCTACACTATATACGGGTGGTCTAAATGTTGAGACCTTTATTTTTACACATAGTCCTCGGCGTTCATTTGATAAGGACTTTCAAGTACCTCCCTGTTGCATGTTGCTTGCAAATGTCGATGTTTGCCATCTCATCCCTCAATTTGGACGATTCTGGGCTGTTTGAGTCTTCTACTGTGTACACCTGCTCCTTCCTACAATCGAGATAAACATGTGGCGCGACTTGGAAACATCCAGAAAAACCATATGTACTTTCCCAAAGCATCACCCTACATTAAAGACACTTACAAATTCATCATTGCTATAGAAATCGGTCATTCCTGATTCTTCCGAATCCGATCTATGAACAAACAGTTCGGTTTCCTACAAGGTTCGCGGCGCCTATGTTAGATGACTATGCATGTCGTATCTTTTCAGCTAGTAATGTGCTGAAGGCAGGGCCGCATTTAGTATCTTAGATCTTTCCTAATCGCTCGGATATGTTATAACTTTGATGTGCATAATAAACTCATATTATTATTTTTTGTTATACAGGGGTACTGGTAATACGTATCGGAAGCAGTTACTAAACTGCAAGGAATTCGTTATATAAGTTCTGTAGGAATACTAAATAAGGTAAAACGACTCAGATGCTCTTTACCATAAAGGTGACAAAGACAGGAACTACAAAGTGAATCCCACGTCTCTTTTGTTAACTAAGAGCTCGTATTGAGCGAATTTTTTTTAAAAAGTATGCATTAATTTAAAGTGGTTTTTATATTTATCAATCAAACAAAGGATTATAGTATAGTTTGATTGGCTACCTGTTAGCAGTTTGTATCTGGAACAGCTTTTAGAGTTAGATACAGTTTTCTTCTAAAGAAAACTGAAAGCAAATTCACTTTATTATTTGGAATAACAATTTTTTTATTATGTCCGCACATTTCATGATTGTTTTAGCTCAATTAAGGATAAATTACGGAAATTAGTTAAATTATCAAGAAGCCCATACACAGTTTCTTTATTGTTCAGTCTTATGTTGCAGGCGGTTGTTGGAAAATTAAAAAAAATTGAAAACAACTCGAAAACGCTTGATTTCCATACGTATAAGGTGTGAAATTTGTTGCATTGTATTGTGTATAATCATCAATAAGTTTACTTTACTGTAGGCTGAGTTTCAGAAGAGCCTTTAAGTGAAGATAAAAACAAAGAGTTAGTATTTAAGCACCGGATACTGGGTCGTGGCAGTTTCAACACATTGCTGAGAAGCAAGTAAATCCAGCAGTTCCCCTATGAGTTGACGATATGGTCAATGCAAAGATAATGGGCGGAGAAGCTGTCTACCGCCCTAATACGTAAAGACGCCGGAATAAAAAGAGGGACTTAAACTACCGGAAAGTCTATTTATAAAATACACTCCACAGCCCCGTAATAAGCAATTAGCTAATTTTGTAGCTCCTCCACTCGGCTGTTAATAAAAATCCACGTTGAAAAGCGTCAGTTTATCAATAATTAGGAGGTTCATTTGTTAAGCAAAAACCGATAATTGAGTCAGAGAAACTTTATTTATAAATATAAGTTAAATCACAAACTATTTTTTAATTTTCAGCATAGCTACCATAAACGTTTAAACATTTATCAAGTGGTAGCACCAGCTATAAGATCCCGTTGTAAAAGAACGATGCCACCTGGCCGTTAAACCAGTTAGTAACTGTTATTATCAACGTGTCATCATTTTCCAAGCGCTTTCTACCAAGGAATTCCTTTCGTTTTGTAAAAAGAGGGCTGTATGGTTAATGGTCCAGTAATTCCCGCAGAAACTGCGTGTGCTCTTGCTATAACGCGAGGCCGAGCGCTGTCGTGAAGCAGACGCCGCTAGAGAACAATCTACGCCGATCGTTTTGAATTGCAGAATATCGCGCCTGATTCAACAAGCTACTGGTGAACCCCAATAGGAATAATTTTTCTGCGTCTTAATACCGAATTTCTAAGCGTACTTCAAAACTGGTGGATTTGCTGATTGACATGGCGACAAACAAAGCATTATAGCCCCACAACCGACGTCGACAGAGACCTGAAATGTAATCATGGCGTAGTGTCTGAAGTTAAACGGACGTCACGTGACACGATGCGCGAGCACGATGCGCAATTACTTCTAACTTTAAGTATGGCTTTCGTAGTTATTATCCGGCCTTCTCTGCATTATTTATTTGGTCTACAATGTCTACAAGAGCGGATTTCCAGTGCCTTTGAATGAATTGAGAGTTGTATGCACCCAGAATGTGACATTACTAAACAGCTCAAGCAAATGTGTACGGAAGCCTAACCTGTGTTTTGATGTTCTGCTTTGACGTTGACAGTTTGTGATCACACTGCAAGAAAATCTGCATTCTTTTGTGTTGTTATTTCTAACTCCAAACTATTCATTTCTTACGGGTCTTCTAAATGAGGAGAACGGAGTTTGTCACACAAAGCTCTAACGATGAAGGTGAGAGAAACATTTTGCCTTTATTTTCAGAAGCATTTTCAAACTATCCAATTGATGCCTGATGACGGTTTTAAAATGCTAGTGCGAGACGTCAGGGGTCTGTGCTTTTATTGTAAAGCTGTAAATGAGTCGAATTCGTATTTTAGTCTAGACCATTGATTCCCAAAGTGGTCTATATCGACTCCTAGGGGTCTATGACAACCTGCAAGGGGTCTACGTCAGCGAAAAAAAATTTGGGGGTCCATGAAATGAATATGGGGGTCCTCGATAGTGGATCTCAACACATATACTGATAGTACCTATTTACTTACATCATACTATCCTATAATATGAAAACATATACATTATTTATAAAAGTACCTATGAAATAAAAAAATTTATTATATATGTTTATATTATTGTGTAAGTTGTAGGATGTTGGTATTCGCTTTGTGGTCGCAATACATTTTGAACTTGTAAAAACCTGAGAGTCGCAGTCTCAGAGCTTCGCTACCTTGCACTGACTTGTTCAATTCGTCACTCTATAAATACGAATATGGGACAAATACGTTTATTCGTTTCCTGAATCTTGAAAAGGAAAGTGCTAAGAAAATATTTTAAAAAATATAAACAGATAGTATATCACACAAATTATAGTGAGTCAGTGTTATTTTGTTTGAGAGTGCTGGAGAAAAGTAAGTACATTATTTTTTATTAAATTTTAGTTTTGTACTTAGCAAAGATAGATAAATTACCCCAATCATGACTTTAGTTATTAATAGTTAAATATTCAATCATGCAAAATTACATGAATACTCCTCAATAGTTTCTTTTTGAAAGTTTTAGCAATCGGTAATATAATTACAGTGCAATCTCCGTAATTCGAGCTAATTGTTGCAAGAAGATGTTCGAATTATGGAATGTTTTCGGGAAAATCAAAAAATATTTTTAATATACAGCTGCTGGATTTTCTGTCTTATTTAAATAATTTAATTTTGCCCACAGGTGACTGATGCCATGTCCGAATCTAAAAAGAAATGTAGACAGTACAGTGTTGATTATTTGAAATTTGGCTTCATTCCATCATTGCCGGAAAAAACAATCGCCTATGTGCCTTTTATGCAACAAAGTTTTGGGTAATGACGTTATGAAACCATCTAAACTGCAAGATCATCTGAGAAGATGCCACCCTGATAAAACAGAGAAAGATTTAAAATACTTTCAAACACTCAAAGATAAATTTCAGAAGATACCTATACTGGACAGAATGTTCGCTTCGACGTCACAAAGAAATGATGATGGTTTGCGGGCATCTTACAATATCTCGTTACTTATAGCAAAATCCGGAAAACCGCATACTATCGGAGAGAAGTTAATTTTGCCAGCCGTTGAAGAGGTTTTGAAAACTGTTTTACACAAACCTGCATCTGATATCATTAAAAGAATTCCCTTAAGTAACAATACTGTTGAAAGACGTATTGATGAAATGAGTTCTGATATTGAAAGCTTATTATGAAATTATTTGAAAACGACCCATTTCTCTATACAACTGGACGAGTCAACTTTACTTGATAATGCAGCATTATTATTGGCATATGTTCGTTTTATTATGAATCAAGAAATCTACGAAAAACTGCTCTTCGCAAGAACTTTGATAACCGACACTAAAGGTGAATCAATATTTCATGTTTTGAAGGATTACTTCATTGAAAAAGCAATTCCTTCATCAAATATAATATCAGTAGCTACAGATGGAGCACCTGCCATGGTTGGACGTTATCGTGGATTTATAAGGTATTTAAAACAAAATGTGTCAGGGGTGTTAGCAATACATTGCGTCATCCATCGACAACATTTAGTTGCTAAAAATTTGAGTGTTAGATTTCATGAATCACTTCATTTAGTCATTGATGCAGTAACCGAATCCGAAGCAACGCGTTGAATACGCGGTTATTTGCTCAGTTGTGTGAAGAAAATGACGAACACTTTCATCAATTACTCCTTCACACTGAAGTACGCTTGCTGTCGAAAGGCTTATGTTTGACAAGATTGTTTGCACTTTTTGAGACTATTTTAGAATTTCTGGATACTAAAGATAAAATTTTAAAAGAAAATTTAATGAAGAGGAAAACAGACATCGCCTATTTAACAGATTTGTTTACAAAATTTAATATGGTTAATTTGCAATTACAAGGCGACAGTTTAAATTTGATTAAAACAAAGTCCATCTTATCAGCGTTTCTTGCCACAGTTAAACTAATGAAGCAAAATATTGGACGGGGCGAATTTTCTCAGTTCCCCAATTTGTCACAGACAAGCTGCCAGGAAGACGACATTTCAACTTGCGTGCAACATTTAAATGCCCTCTATTCAGATTTTGAATCTAGGCTTGAGGATATTTTGACTATGGTAATACCACCGTGGATAATTAGTCCATATGGTGATAAAGAAGAAACGAATGTCATAATACAAGAGGAACTGACTGAACTAAGTACAAACGAAGAACCTAAGGTTCAGTTTAAAAACGGATATCAGCAATTCTGGCTGCAAAACAACATACCCGTTACTTATCCCGTTACCTAGTGGAAAGGGGGTTCAGCGCTGTTAGCAATCTCCTAACGAAAAAAAGAAACAGACTGGACATCATTAGCCGAGGAGATGTAAGATTAACCCTTACAAAATTGGCGCCAAATGTTGATAATTTATTATTAAAGCATCAGGTTCATGTTTCTCACTAAAAATATTGACTTATTGCTTATGTTATTTTATTTATAGTTTATTTTATGTTTATTGGTGTCTGACCAATAAATGCCCGCATTGGGAATAAGTGCCCGCATTGATTTTTTTAAAGAACCCCCTTTATAGAAAATATTTATTTTTTTTTAATTATTCTGAAAAGCCGCTATGAACTTGCCTAATTATCATATCTTGTGGAACATCTTAAATGTATGTTGTTGTGACTCTGGGTCATACATTATCAGTTTTTGACCATCCTCCATTGTCTAGTAGCGGTTTAATGTGAGCTTGACGCAAAAAACAAAAACGGTAAAAAATCGTAGCCTAACAATTTTGACACATTGTCATTTTAGTTATACCCATATTTCGGATCGTATAACACCGAATAAGAAACTAGTGCATGAGGGGGCAGGGATTTCAAAAATGAGTAGCTCGGGTGCATGGCACTCTAGAGCAATGTAAAGGTATTGCCAGGTGTTGGACAGTAATGAGCTGCTCCGAGTAACACAAATGAGGCACTTTAATGCGGCTATGAATATCAAGATGTAGACAAATGCAATTAGCTACACATAGACAATGACGTATTTTAAATGACGTAATCAATGCGCCCATCGCTGGTCCTGCAAATTGATGATGTTCTGTTTCTACCATAAATCGTGGCATTCCATCCATACAGTTACCACTTTGAAGGTTTGTGGTAAAGCCCTTATGTATACCTAACAAGCCCCACCGTTTCATCGACTTACCCTCTTCGGAGGTGTGCGAATTCGGTGAATCAACAGCCGGTAACAAAAGAGAATCGCCTGGTTAATTGCATATTTGTACAGCTTGGTACGGAATCAGAAAACACGCCACCATACTTCCTTCCAAAGAACAGCGGGGCGGTTAAAAGGACGGGGGTGCGTGGAGAACACCACCATGGCGTGGTTATTTGTAAAATATGCCATTCACTGACACTTGTAACATGGGACCTGCATACATGCAATGCAACTATTAGGACGGAGCAGTGCTAGGATTTGTACAACGGGTGGGGTGAAGTCGGCCTAGACACGAAAATATCACTCGAATCGTATAATATTGACAATTGGTATTAAATCCATCGTGGTGGATTAGCATACGGGGTGACACATAAAAGATCAATTATCCCAAAATTCAAATTCAAATAATATCCATTCATCGTTATATAAAAACATATAACACTATGTAGAAAATATATAAGATTATACCCTGTGTGTGTTCTTAGATCTAGCAGAAGCCTTCAGCGCGGTAGACCACTTGCATACAGGGTTTTTCAGTTTATTGTTGCATAACTTTAAGATTCGATAGATCTTTTAAAATTAACGCATAAAGTCTATATAAACATGGGTCGAAAAATGCGTGGCTTCCGAAATACAGGGTGTTTAAATTTACTTTCCACAATAATTTTTTTTAATTATTTCGAACAATATTTGATGTATAACTGAAAATTGGTAAACAAGGGTTTTTTGGTACGACAAAACGAACCATGGGCCATAGTTTTACTGTAGCCGCTAGAGGGCGCTCTCTACTGTACCTGTAGTGTATTAAAATGACCGAAAAAAATTTCTTAATACAATTTTGGCGGCTGGCGGCTACAGTAAAACTATGCCCATGGTTCGTTTTGTCGTACCAAAAACCCTTGTATACCAATTTTCACTATTATACATCAAATATTGTTCGAAATATTTAAAAAAAACTATTTTAGAAAGTAAATTTAAACACACATTTCGGAAGCCACGCTTTTTTCGACCCATGTTTATATAGACTTTATGCATTAATTTTAAAAGTTCTATCGAACATGCAACAATAAACTGAAACACCCTGTATATTAAAACCCTCACTCCACTCTGTAATCATAAGTGTGTACAAATAAATAATTTCTTGAGCACAAGCAAATTGGTCACTTATGGTGGCCCACAAGCGACAGTGTTAGCCTCTTATTATTTACAGTTTACATCAATAACCTGCTTAGTTTAAAATTATATACTTTGCAGACGATACTGAGATGAAAGAGATTTAAAAATCACTTCAGACTGGTTCAGACATAAATGCCTAATCATTAACTTCCAAAAAAACTATGTTCATGACTTCACAAATCTTAGAAACACATCGCCATTCTTGGTTTCTATACAGATTAATTATGAATATACAAGTACTCAAATAAATTTAACAAACAAATCAAATATCTACGTGTATATTTAGACCCACATTTAATGTGAAATTATTGTTTAAATTCAAGTATCTGAGCAAATATTTGGATAAAAAACAATATAAGCTTTATATCATGCTTCGATCGAAGTTCGTATGGGTTATGCAATATTAGGTTAGGGTCTAGCTCTCAGTAACCAAATAAATAAAGTAGTATTTACCCAAAACAATTTCTCATCTGATCTGTTGTAGCTACTCTGGAGCTACTAGGCAATTATTTTTTTATAGAATTACAGCTTATCAGTTTCAAAATACTCATTATCTCATTCAGCTAAATCAGTTATATGGAGCGAGAAACAGAATCAACAACCAGTCAAACATATTTCACCTCAAAAATTACCGAATGATATAAGGAATATTTCAAGCAAAACTAAATTCAAAATTGAGACAAATTGCGAGGATAAGTCTAAAGGAAAATTAAACTTAATGTATTGTATATGTGTACATATGTTATATTATATAGTATTATGTATTATGTGTGTTTTTGTCTATTTGCTTATATAAATTATGATAATTCATTCCAATGCACAAGAATTCATTCTTCTGCGGGTATTTGCAGTTTATTAACGCATACGTATGTTAGTTTTAGTTATGTTTGTACAGCGTGAATTAGCTTATTATTATTATTATTATTATTGTTATTATTATTATTCTTTTTTTCACACAGTCATGCAATACTGTGGTTCATTTGGTGAAAGCACCGAATGCACATCGTGCACCTAGGGTGCTTCCATATACTATGGTTCTTATCTTTTCACCATATGGCCAGTGCTCAACACAACAGTTTTCTATAACGCGCGAAGGCTGTGTTTGTCTGCGATTTGTTCAATAGCTTCACACGTTTTATTTTATTTTGTATTATTATTATGGTTATTATTATTATCATCATCATTATTATTATTAGTATTATTGAATAAATAACTAAGCCACAAAAGGCAAAGCTTTGAGCGTGGCATTAAAATAAAATAATTACCCTTGTGGAATACCCGGAAAGCTAACTGAAGTTAAATTGAAAAAAATAACCTTATGCAATTTTCTGTTATTCTAAATAGCAAAAAAAGAATGTCTGTTTCAAAATACTGTTTTAAACATCTGATTTTCTAGACCTAATCAATATTTTATATCTCCTATAGGTAACATTTTCACAAACATTTTTAATTTTCTTTAAATAAACTGAGGTTTTGATGGTTCCTCATAAGAAGGCATTATGAGCCTAAAAAGCTGTGACATCTGGTGAGTATACTCTTATTTGGCTGTGAGACTATAATTATGCATGGATATTTAACAGATTTGAGATGAGATACGACTTTCAATAAGTGAACTCTACCCTATTTTCATTTGAGGTAATGTTAGTATATCATAATTGTAATAATAAATATGTAGTAGGTATATATCTTAATTTTTTTCATTCGTTATGTTCTTAGGGTGACCTTGGATTATAAGTTTACTAAGTGATAGGATGCAAATGGCGTGAAGAACATCTTACTGGTATTTGTCCTTAACAGTTATTGCCGAACAAATTAGATATATATATATATATATATATATATATATATATATATCCTTTAATTTCTTTGGGAAGTATTGCAAAAGTATTATAACTTAGACTTTCAAGCTTTCGAAGATCTATGTCTTCATCGTATGTCTACTTCCTCCTAGTTGTTATTTGTTGCTATTGTCAATAATTGTTTCCAGCTTCAGACCATGAAGACATACGAGTAGATCTTCGAAAGCTTGAGAGTTTAAGTTATAAGAGTGTACTTTTGCAATACTTTGCCTTCTACCCAAAGAAATTAAAGGATATCTTCTCCTAACAGTTAAGGCAATTAACTATGAATACCACATATATATATATATATATATATATATACAGGGTGACTTCGAAGTTGAGTCATTTATTTTAACAGTGAGTAGATCTGATCAAAAGAAATGTTTTTTTCCTTTACCATTTTTCTGGTAAAATTAAAGTAACAAAGTTATAGCCCTTTGGAAGTTTGAGTACCGCCCTTGTCTCAATAATGATATTATGTTCTCGTGTTTGGCAACAACAGATATAATCCGCCTTATCCGTTCATCGCATCGGAAACAAAAAAGCGAAAGAATTTGGAACGATCTTTTACAATTATTTTCTTCAGTTGTATACAGTCAGTATCAGTCGGTAGTCGGTAACGCGTAAGTGAATAATCGTGTCTGTTGCGAGGCTCAAATCAAAAATGGCACATGTTTACGAAAATGCTGAACTTGTGGACATGGTTTCTTATTTACAAAATGCTGCCGCGGCATCACGGATCTATGCGGATCGGTTTCCCAATCGAGTGCAACCAACCCCTCGTGCCTTTGTTAATGTAGTGCAAAGAGCTCGTGAATCAGGTGACTTAAGACCTCACAGAGGAGATCATGCCGGTGCTCCAAGACCACACGATCAAATAGAACTAGAAGAACAAATTTTAGAATTAGTAAGTGATGATCCAACAGTAAGCACCCGACAAATTTCAACTCAATTGGCGATTAGTCAGTATAAAACTTGGAAACTCTACGTGAAAATCAGTTCTATCCGTTTCACATACAAAAAGTGCAGGCCTTACAACCGGAAGATCATGAACAAAGGGTTGACTTTTGCA